CTGGGACTCCCCTGTCTCGCTGCCCTTGTCAGGGCCGAGCAGGGCAAGCCAGTGGTGTGGCCCCAAGAGCTTCTGGACCTCTGCTCTTGTAAGAGCAAGGCCGGGTTAGCTGGGTGCCGGGATCCGTGCTTTACCAGGGCCGGATCAGATAGCCTCCCATAGCACTATTAGAGGAGGACTGGGAATAGGACAGGGGAAATAGTGCTAGGGGTGTTATCCCATCTAGTACGGGTGAAGGGGCCGTTACCCCTTCAAGTATTGTTACTGCCCTTGAGTTGAATATAAGAGTGTGCCTCAACTCCGTCGTCAGTCTCCCTGGAACTCACTACACATTTAACATGAAGAATTAAATAATTATCTTCAGTAAAAAAAATACAATAAAAAATTAGTTGTGGCTGTGATTAAACATGCTCTGATAATTATCAGAGCATGTTTGCTCACAGCCACATGCATAGTCTTTAAAAGAGAGTGATTGGTTTTACCCTTTTACCCTCTCTAGCAATAAAACCAAGCAGGATGTTTGGTGTTTGAACATCTTAACATCTTTCGGTGAAATTTCGATTTAAAGCTTTCGTGACTGCAGGGATTCATCTTCTTGGTTCTTTCGGTAAAGTCACGTAGAAGGGAAGTAATAAAATAATAAAAATAAAACATAATAAAACAATTCTCACGACGTTTCGGCCACAACGCAAGCAGCCGTCCTCAGGTGAAAACCAGGTCCGTCGAGGCGACAGAGTCTGAATGAAACAGCACACGGGCTTAGAGCATATATATAAGCTGGGCGCATTGACAAAGGAATTTGCATATCAACAGGAATTTAGCATATTTATGGGAAATGCAGGAATGTAATTAGTACTGCATATGCATGTGCATTATGCAGGATTAACAGCATCAAAGGGAGCTGCAGTTACTGCTGCTGCAGCAGTTGCTGCTGCTGCAGTTTCTGCTGCTGCTGCAGTTGCTGCTGCTGCACTTGCTGCTGCTGCTGCACTTGCTGCTGCTGCTGCACTTGCTGCCTTATCCATTTTAATATAACACTATGTATTATTCTACCCACCCTAATGTGTATCATACTGCTATATGTTTACTGTACAATTACGACACCATACATTACTCTGCACACTGCACCATGCCAGTGAGTGGAACGCGGTCTGAAAGTCACCGTTAACGTGAACACAATCAGTTAAGATCCGAAATGGTTTATTACGTCCTTCCAATGATTGCTAAGCCAGAATCCATCTTCTCGGTTGAAATTGTCTCTGTGTTTGTATATGTGGATCGCCTCATGAACGAATCTCTCATGATAGCCAGATGGCTTGCAGAGAACCTCTGTCTTGGAGAAGTCAATGTCATGTGAGCCCACTGAATTGTAACAGTGATCTGCCACGGCTGAGGTGTTTGTCCTACCGTGTTTCAGGTCTGCCTTATGTTCACGGATGCGGTCCGAGACATGTCGTTTGGTTTCTCCAATGTAACTGCTACCACAGAGGCAACTTAGTTTGTAGACGCCAGGGTACTGTATGTCTGGAACCACATCTTTTACAGACGGGACCAGATCACGGATTTTATGTACTGTGTTGAATCGGACCTGGATCTTGTGTTTAATCAGGATTTTGGAGATCTTTTTTTTTTTTTGTGACCCCAGCAATGTAGGGTAAGGTGATGGTCTTGAAAGGCTCCTCAACAGGATCCTTCTTGATGGTTGGAGTGATGGCTTTGCGGATTGTGTAGTCGGAGTAACCATTAGCCTTAAGAGCTTGGCGTACGTGTTTGAGTTCACTGGAAATGTGTTCATGGTCGGAGATGCATTGGGCTCTATGATATAGAGTCTTGATGAGGGAATTCTTCTGGGATGGATGGTGGTGGGAATCCGGTTTTAGATAAGCATCCGTGTGGGTGGCTTTCCTGTAGACAGAGTGGCTCATTGAACCATCAGGTCTCCTTTTGATTAGGACATCCAAAAAGGGTAGCTTGCCATCATTTTCGACTTCCATGGTGAATCTGATGGCTGGGTGTATGGAATTGATGTGGTCGAGAAATTGGTCTAGAGCAGGCCGGCCATGTGGCCAGATGACAAAAGTGTCGTCTACGTACCTCTTCCATAAGGTCGGGCGTAGAGTGGCAGTCTGGATGGCGTCCGTCTCAAATTTCTCCATGAAGATGTTGGCTACAACCGGAGATAGGGGGGAGCCCATTGGGGTGCCCTCAATTTGCTTGTAGAAGGTTCCATTCCAGGTGAAGTATGTATTGGTTACGCAGTGTCTCACCAGGGGGGGTACCCCAGCATTCAGTCCTTGATGAACCAAGTCTTCAATGATTGCGATGGTGTCAGGCACAGGCACCTTGGTGAACAAGGAAACCACATCAAAACTGACAAGCAGGTCGTCTGGGGACAGGGCAATCCCCTTGATTGTCGATACCAGGTCAGTAGAGTTTAGTACTGCAGAGGTGGTTTTTCCAGTGAAAGGCCGTAGGATTTCGGACAAAAAACGAGCCAGTTTGTAAGTGGGGGAGTTGATAGTAGAGACAATGGGACGAAGAGGTGTATCTTCTTTATGTATCTTTGGCAAGCCGTACAATCTTGGTGGCCTGGCTGCAGAAGGTTTCAACGAGAACTGTTTGGTCTGATCAATTAATGCGGTTGAAGCAGAAATGATGTTGTTGGTTTTGGAGACGAGGCTGTTGGTGGGGTCTCTTTTTATTTTTGTATAGCTGCCATCGTTGAGTAGTTCTTGAATTTTGTTGTTGTATTCTATTTTGTCCATGATGACAGTGGCATTGCCTTTGTCGGCTGAGAGGATGACAATGTCATCCCTCTTTTTTAATTGAGCTAATTCAAAACGCTCATCTTTGCTAATGTTGCTAGCTGGCATCTTAGCGTTTTTGAGGGTTACAGAGATTTCAGATCTTGCTACGTCTGCAGCGATGTGACTCAAGCCCTTGAGAGCTACATCTACTCGAGCAATTATATCATTAACTGGTATGTGTCTAGGTGTGACTGCAAAGTTTAGTCCTTTAGCTAAAACGGATTTCAAACCTTCAGAAATAGGACTGTTACTGCGATTAATTACGACTTTGTTAACATCTAGCTTTTCAATGTGTGGGTCCGGTTTCTTGTTTGAGAGGCGGTTGAATTTGGAAATCAAGTTGTCCTTACATTTAGTCGACATAGCGGCAGCTGAAGAGGCAGTCATTTTTTCCACATGTTCCCAATCCGATGTGGACATTGTTACACTCAAAGATAAGTGTGATTTGTAGAGTGTCTTGTCTAACTGATCTAGTTCGGTGCGCGTAAGTCTGATTTTCTCTGAGATAAGAGCTAAACTAGTTCTATACAGAATTCGTTTCGCATTAGAAGAAGTTACAGCAGCAGATGTTAGTGTAAATGCGTTTGGTATTACCTTAGAGTCGCGGCATCTCTTCAGAAAGGTGAGAGACTCGATTAGCTGAGCCTTCTTATCCCGGAGCTTGTTGAAGGATCTCAAAGTTATGTGGAAACCCTCCCCGTAGAGGCGGTTAAATTTCGATTTAAAGCTTTCGTGACTGCAGGGATTCATCTTCTTGGTTCTTTCGGTAAAATCACGTAGAAGGGAAGTAATAAAATAATAAAAATAAAACATAATAAAACAATTCTCACGACGTTTCGGCCACAACGCAAGCAGCCGTCCTCAGGTGAAAACCAGGTCCGTCGAGAAGGATCCTGTTGAGGAGCCTTTCAAGACCATCACCTTACCCTACATTGCTGGGGTCACAAAAAAGATCTCCAAAATCCTGATTAAACACAAGATCCAGGTCCGATTCAACACAGTACATAAAATCCGTGATCTGGTCCCGTCTGTAAAAGATGTGGTTCCAGACATACAGTACCCTGGCGTCTACAAACTAAGTTGCCTCTGTGGTAGCAGTTACATTGGAGAAACCAAACGACATGTCTCGGACCGCATCCGTGAACATAAGGCAGACCTGAAACACGGTAGGACAAACACCTCAGCCGTGGCAGATCACTGTTACAATTCAGTGGGCTCACATGACATTGACTTCTCCAAGACAGAGGTTCTCTGCAAGCCATCTGGCTATCATGAGAGATTCGTTCATGAGGCGATCCACATATACAAACACAGAGACAATTTCAACCGAGAAGATGGATTCTGGCTTAGCAATCATTGGAAGGACGTAATAAACCATTTCGGATCTTAACTGATTGTGTTCACGTTAACGGTGACTTTCAGACCGCGTTCCACTCACTGGCATGGTGCAGTGTGCAGAGTAATGTATGGTGTCGTAATTGTACAGTAAACATATAGCAGTATGATACACATTAGGGTGGGTAGAATAATACATAGTGTTATATTAAAATGGATAAGGCAGCAAGTGCAGCAGCAGCAGCAAGTGCAGCAGCAGCAGCAAGTGCAGCAGCAGCAACTGCAGCAGCAGCAGAAACTGCAGCAGCAGCAGCAACTGCTGCAGCAGCAGTAACTGCAGCTCCCTTTGATGCTGTTAATCCTGCATAATGCACATGCATATGCAGTACTAATTACATTCCTGCATTTCCCATAAATATGCTAAATTCCTGTTGATATGCAAATTCCTTTGTCAATGCGCCCAGCTTATATATATGCTCTAAGCCCGTGTGCTGTTTCATTCAGACTCTGTCGCCTCGACGGATCTGGTTTTCACCTGAGGACGGCTGCTTGCGTTGTGGCCGAAACGTCGTGAGAATTGTTTTATTATGTTTTATTTTTATTATTTTATTACTTCCCTTCTACGTGACTTTACCGAAAGAACCAAGAAGATCTTTCGGTGACTTTACCGAAAGAACCAAAGAGTATGGATTCCTGCAGTCACGAAAACTTCAAATCAAGATCTTAACATCTGCTGTATTGCAAGAAAGGGAAAAACACAATTTTATTTTAATACTTTGATACTTGCAAAAAAACATGTCCTGTAGATATGTTTCTGTAAGATTTTTGTTGAGTTACTTATATACCTTAATTACATACCTGTGTGCAGAGTAAAGACTTGTAATGGTATCTGAAAGAGAAAAGGACAGTTGTTAACGCATCAAAAATACATTTGATTGAGGTGTCCCATATGTCAGAGTGCTGAGGCCAGCCACCTTTGGTTATACCGGATTCTCACATGGAATTAGTTGATTTATCTCAGCCCAGTCACATAGAGACCCACATGCTTGCATAGAGACCCATAGACACAAACACAGAGACCCATAGAAATGCATTGGGCCACCCTGCACAATAATATCTCTAGATTTTCCTGACTTTTTGGCCACCTTGTATATATTTTTTCCAGTAGGTGAGTGGGTGGGCGAGTGAATGTGGGCGTGAGTGGATGAGTGGGTTAGTGGGTTAGTGAGTGAGTTTGTAAGTGGGTGGGTGAGTGAGTGGCCTAACTTTTGGGGGCCACCCTGCATAATAATAATAACCCTATGTGTCCTGACTTTTGAGCCACCATGTACATTAATGCCCCTATGTGTCCTGACTTTTGGGCCACCTATTGTAGCGAAACTGCTCATAGTCGATCCGACAGCCACATTGGGGTATCAATTCATCGAGGGTTAATCACTGCATTGATTCATTGCCAATCCATGGATCAAGTCATCCAATTGGTTAACATAGCTTCCCACAGAACGTGTTGATGGCAGACGGTGGTTAATGTTATGCAAACTCCGACCAAATGCACTAGTGAAGACGTAACTTATTGAATTTTTATTTCGTTATTACTATTCAAACGTATTCGTTTTATTTGTAAAATATTTATCATATGTGCATTATCATTATTAAGGCTATTACCGATACCCCAATGAAGCCCTCGAATATTGCTGTAGTAAAAAAGAGTGCTGTTGGTACGCAGCTCCATAGGAACGCTGTTATAATGACCCCATATTGCGCCGTTTCGTATAGCGCTTTGTTTACCAAGAACGAATTCTGAGCGCTATAGGCGGTACGCCTGTATATATTTTCCATTTAACGCCATAGTTTGACGAATGTAAGAAGTACGATCCATGATAACCAAGAGAGAGACTTCACTGACCATGAGCGTGAGCCCCAAGGAGATGATGTACGTCTTGAAGTGCCACGACTGGATTCCTCGAACCGTCATCGTGGATTCTATCGCTTCAGCTTCTCAATGGATCCGACCAGATTGTTAACTTCTTCACCGGTGATGGATATTGTGGTTGAGGTGGAAGTGGTGACCGTGATATGTGAACGGCTCTGCGAAGAGAAATATTCAGCACCATTCAAGACGTGATTCATCAATCGGCTAGAGCCTCCAGTAAGACATGCGGCTTCTGTGTGTGGGGCAAACCACTCCCTGACTCCTTCCCATCTCATCGAATGTATCCTGTCTATATGTATATATAGCGCCTTATTCCAAAGTGCTTTACAACAATTATACAACTTTTACATAAACCAGCTATAGCCTCCAATAAATCACGTGACTCCTGTGTAGCCACCCCGACTCTGAACTCCTCCCCACCATCCACCCACTTTGAAAAGAGACGATGTTCTTCCTCCTCCCTCGTGCAGCTTCCTTCTGCTACTCGTTCCTTCCTCCCCTCTCTCCTCCCTCTCTTCCCTCACCTTATCATCACCTCTCATCATCCCCGATAAATATTGGGCAAGCCATTCCTCCTCCTCCATCAACCCCGCCATCTCTCTCCTCCCTCCTGACTGGGTAGGTGGGTGAGTGGGTGGCAGGGTGGGTGGGTGAGTGAATGGGTGGGCGAGTGAGTGAGTGGCTCAGTGATTTAGTGTGTGAGTGGGTGGGGTGGGTGAGTGGGTCGGTGGCTGGATGGGTGAGTAAGTGGATGGTTGGGTGAGTGAGTGGCTGAGTGGGTGGGTGGGTAAGTGTGCGACTAAGTATCTGACTGAGAGTGTGGGTGAGGGAAAGAGCGGGTGATTGATTGAGTGTGTGGGTGAGTGAGTCACGAAGCTGGGCATCTGAATTCAATGACAGGCCACGGCTAACGTCAGTGGTGAGCGACACACGAACCCAAACCTTCACCACCCCCTACTCTCAAACCTCGCACTGACCAGCGTGGTGAAGTATAGTCAGTCACCCTGTCGCCTCCCTGCTCCCTCCCCCTCGACCCCACTTCCCCCACTATGACCAATAAGGGTCGCCGCGGTGGCTAGGAGATGTTGTCTCCCTCGCCTGGTATACAGGAAGTCGTGGGTTTATCCCAACCTTGACAATGCCAGCTGTATATTTGGAGTCTGCGTCTCTCTCTCTCTCCAGGTCCTCCGGTTTTTCCCTCCACATTGAGGATTAACGTCACTGCGTTGATAAATCCCCGATGATGATGATGATGAGCCACTTCTTTGAGATATCATTTGTGCCAAGGTCACTTCTAAAACATTTAAATAGTTCAGTTTTAGTCTAACAGCCAGCAGTACATATTTGCAATACAGACAAAAACGAAATCCCCGTTTAGCCTTAACATACTGTTTGGAGCAAATGCTGTTCACGAGCAGCACTTATGAATTCTGGCATTGCACACAAGGGGGTGGGTGGCCAGAACTACACCGCACCAGGTACCCATTTTAGGTTGAGTCGACCTAGGGGAGGCTCCAGGACACCTTCAGCCACTCACCCACCCACTCACCCATCCACTCACCCACAAAGACCAAAATAAAGATCCCCCCGTAAAGCCTCAACAGATTGTAGGGGCAAGTGCTGTTAGCGAGCACTCTATGAAGGCCGGCATGGCACACGAGGGGGTGGGTGGCCAGTACCACGTCCGACCGCCTTTGTCTCCTCAGTGGCGATGTTTACACATCGCACCAGGTACTCATTTGAGGCTGAGTCAACCTGGGGGAGGCCCAGGAACGGTTCAGATAATCGTCACTGGTCATTTGAGGCTGAGTCAACCTAGGGGAGGCCCAGGATCGGTTCAGATAATCGTCACTGGTGTTGGGCGTGAACGGGAATCGAACTCGGGTTGCCGGGTTTGTAGTGCAGCGCGCTAACCGCTCCACTACCGCACCCACTCACTCACCTACTCACTTACCCACGCACTGACCCACTCACTCACCCACCAGCTCACATACTCACTCACCCACTCACTCACCCACCAACTCACACACTCACTCACGCACTCACTCACCAACTCATTCACTCACCAACCCACCAACTCACCCACCAACTCACTCATCAACTCACTCATCAACCCACTCACCCACTCACTCACTCACCTACCCACCAAACCACACACTCACTCAATCCACTCGCTCACCCACCCATTCTCTCACCCACTCACTCACTCACCCACCCACCAACTCACCCACTCACCCACCAACTCGCTCATCAACCCACTCACCCACCAACCCACTCACTCACCTACCCACCAAACCACACACTGACCCACTCACTCACCCACCCACCAACTCACACACGTACTCACCTGCTCACTCACTCGCCCACTCACTCGTTCGCCTTGTTGTCCGCAGACAAGCTGCGGCTGACCCCAAGCACGTTGCACTGATCCGTGACGTTACTTACCTCTGTTCCACAGACCCACAGTCTCTTCGGGTCGTGCTCTGTGATTGGTCAGGAAAGAGATAAAGGCAGTTTGTGGTTGCTTTGTTGGGTATGTTAATTGGAATGTGGTGTGGTAATAGTTGCGTCCTTTTCTCTCTATGAGCAGTAAAACTAAAGCGACAAAATAGTTTTCTTTTACCAGGTGAGGCCCACTGTAAGCTATGTAACTATTTTTCAGAAACGACATGGCTATCACAAATTCAAGCTGTGAACGCATTTTGATTTAAAATGTGGAAGCGAAAATCAGAGGACCCAAAAAATAATCCACATGACCATGGGGAGATAGAGAGAGATGCAAACTCCAAATATACAGCAGGTGTCAGGGCTGGGATCGAATCGACGACCTCCTGCTTACCTGGCGAGGTAGTTAACATCTCCGAGCCAACGTGGCCGTGTTGAGTCTATGGGCGTGCATGCATGTACGGGCCGTCATCGACTTACGAACATCCGACTTACGAACATGAATACGTACGAACCAGCTTCCATGAAATATAAACATTGACTTACGCGACCTCGAAATTGAAAACTTGAACCGTGGAAGTATTTTGTTCAGAGGAGCGATCATTCGCAATATGTAATGAGTTGGACTCGCGGTGGGAATGAGTGTTTGTGTGTGGGGGCGTGTGTGTTAAATTGAGTTTATGGTGAGCGGTAGTGTAGCAGTTTAGTGCGCTGCGCTACGCAAGCGGCGACCCGAGTTTGAGTCTTGCTCATGGCCATCACCATTGAAGATTATCTGAACCGGTCCTGAGCCTACCTAGGTCGACTCAACCTCAAATGAGTGCCTGGCACGCTCGGGAGACAAAGTCGTCGGGCGTGGTGTTGGCTACCCACCCCCTCGTGTATCGTTCTGGCCTTCATAAGTGCCACTCGCTCACAGCACTTGCTCCTACATTCTGTAAAGGCTACACGGGGGGTCTTTGTGTGGGGGGGGAACAGTAGTGCAATGGTGAGCGCGCTGTGCTACCAACCTGGCCACCACAGTTCAATTTCCCGCTGACGATCTACACCAGTGACGATTATATGAATAGGACCTAGGTCGGCTCAGCCTCAAATGGGTACCTGGTGCGGTGGGGAGACAAAGGCGGCCGGGCGTGGCGGTGGCAAATCACCCCCTCATGTGCCGTGCCGGTCTTCATAGGTGCTGGTCGCTAACAGCATTTGCCCCTACAGTCTTTAGTCCATACAGGGGATCTTTGTCATTGGGGTGTTTGTGCGTCTGTGTGTCTTTGTGTGTGTGTCTTTGTGTGTGTGTGTTTGTGCGTCTGTGTCTTTTTGTATGTGTGTCTTTGTGTGTGTGTGTGTCTTTGTGTGTGTGGCTGGGTCATGTAGCCCGCATGCCCAGCCACCGCATGCCTAAACAGCTTTTGTTCGGCCGGATCGAGGGGGCTAAACGGGCGCGGCACGGGCTAGAGAAGAGATGGAGTGATGTGGTACAGGAGGACGTGGAGCTGAGTGGACTTGCCGATGACTGGTACCAGCGGTGTCAAGATCGGCCTCAGTGGAGGAGGCTCGTGAAGGACGCTACTGGGCAGTTGGAGGCAGTCGCCCTCCAACAACAACGGAGGGCGGAGGAGCGACGCTTACAACAACGAGCGGAGCGCCGGGTGGCTAAAGCACAGCAAGTTGGTACAGTAGGGGGCACAGGTGGCGCATCAGCCAGTCATCTCGGTCATCTCGGTCAGTCGACCCGTGGCACCTGGGTCTGCCCCGTGACCTCCTGCCAGCGGGCGTTCGACACTTCACGTGGCCTCAAGGTGCACATGGCCTGGCACAAGCGTCGTGGTGACGTCACCGCCACTTAGTGGCGAATGGCGGTTGTTGTTGTTGTGTCTTTGTTTGTGCGTCTGTGTGTGTGTGTTTGTACGTCTGTGTGTGTGTCTTTGTGTGTGTGTCTTTGTGTGTGTGTGTCTTTGTGTGTGTGTGTGTCTTTTTGTGTGTGTCTTTGTGTGTGTGTCTTTGTGTGTGTCTTTGTGTGTGTCTCTTTTTGTGTGTTTGTGTCTTTTTGAGTGTGTGTGTCTTTTTGAGTGTGTCTTTGTGTGTGTGTCTCTTTTTGCGTGTGTCTTTTTGAGTGTGTCTTTGTGTGTGTGTGTCTCTGTGTCTTTGTGTGCTTGCTCCGTGTGTGTACAATTGTGATGACTCATGTCCCCCTTCCGACAAAGAAAGTTAACATCAGAACTCAAAGTAAGTGAAAATGCAAGTTTTTTTCTATTTATGTTACTTTATTTTATGTTTTGTTTACTATACAGTATTTGTTGTTCCAGTGGTACATGCTAATGCACAATATTTGTTCTTAATTATGAGTTTAACAATGCTTCCTCTTTTGTTGAACCATAATAACATAACACTGACCGTATAGCCATTTAAATATAGTGGAATATTGTGTTCTGATTTACGAACTGTTCGATTTATCAACGGGTCTCAGGAACAAATTAGGTTTGTAAGCCAAGGACTGCCCGTATGTTGAACTTCTTTTTTACCATATGCAGGCAACCGTGCTAATCGGAGGTGCGGGCAGTGTTGAATCTATAGGCAAAAATAACCCTATCAGTCCTGACTTTTGACCAACCATCAATAATAATAATCACCCTATATGGTATTACATGTCTCTGTACGTCTATGGGTCTTTAAGTAAGTGTATGCGTCTCTACGTAAGTCTAAAGGTCTCTGTAATTTTACGTCCTTTCTACGTCCTTTAAAAGACACGTCAAGGCAGCCAATATCAATGTGGACACGTGGGAGGAAATATCACCCAACTGTAAGCGAGTCCTGTTGTAGCCGACACAACACGAATCCCATCCAGCAGACGAGCAGCAAATCTTGCCCACAGTGCGGCCGATTCTTTCCGCTCAAGGGGCTGGCCTCTAATCCCACCAGCGTGAAGTCAAACGCTGCTGCTCGTTGTTCTCCGCAGTCACAATCGTTTGCAATGGGCAGCCGAAGGCGGAAAAAATATACCGGTCTCTATGGAAGTCTAGGTGTGGCTATGAAAGTCTCTATGTAAGTATATGGGTCTCTATGAAAGTATACCAATCTCTATGTGAGTTTATGGGTCTCACAGATAGAAACTCAATGACACAGACAAACGTTCCCCGTGTAGCCTCAACATACTGTTGGGGCAAGTGCTGTTAGAGGGTAGCAGTGCCTATCAAGGCCGGCACGAAACACAAGGAGCTGGGTGACCAGCACCACGCCTACTCGGCCGCCTTTGAATCCCTGGTCGCGATGCTTACACATCGCACCAGGCACTCATTTGAGGCTCAGCCAACCTAGGGGAGGTCCAGGACCAGTTCAGATAATCATCATGGGTGTAGACCGTGAGCAGCGGCCTCTTGATAACACCACTTTCCCCCACAGTATGTTATGGTTATATGGGGGGGTCTTTGTGTCTCTGGCTCTCAAATATTGGCACTCTCATTTATACTCTCACTCACTTCTGATTCTACTTTTAGCACGACACACTGGGGCAGCTGTGGACTGTTGTAGGGTTGCCATAACGGGTGCCGGTGCCTTCAAGGAACTTGACACTCCCTATTCCAACTGCTGTGCCATAATCTCACTTCTCAACACAAGGGCAATCAACCTTGAGGTTTAAAAACAAAGTCTGTTACTCATTAAACTAAATGCTGCAGGCTACAGTGTCGTTGGATTGCGTTGCTATTGGAGCAACTAAAACCATACACGTTTATTTTACTCGGTGTAATGCCCCCTGAGCTATGCTGTATTTTTTTCAGAAGAAACCTCGCGACAAATTATTGCATCTCAACGAAGTGGCTGATGCTGTAAGTCCCCGGGTTTAAGAAAACCAGACTTACGGAAATTCGACCTTACGGAAATGCTCCCATGAATCGTGTTAAATAATGTTTCAATATGCAGAAATGGTTGCGTTAGTTACGTAAGCGCAAGTAGTGTAGTGGTTTGAGGTTGCGAGGCGTAAGGCGAGCAGCATCTTCCCCACCGCCCCAACCCATCCCCGCTTTTGGTCTCAGCCCACAGCGAGCCTAATGCACGGGGGGGAAAAACATTCAGAATTGACTGCCTTCTGTTAACAATTAATATATTACACTGTTTTGTGGTATTCATAAACAATTAGATATAGGCTATGTTCTGTGAGTAAAGATTTACGTTTATTACTCGAGTTATTTACTTTATGTAACACAATTACACTTCGATAGCTTACAGTCTCAGCTGAAAGTGAACGGAGAACCAAGGCTAGCCTAAGTTGGCTACATACATAAACAAACATTCAGAATTTACATCATGAGGCCTCCTTTGCCAGTAGCTAAATATAATAATAGGTTTTTTACCCTTTTTTTGGCAACAAAACTGAAACCCTTTTTTACAAGGAATCATGTTTGCATTAACCACAATACCTGCAGTCAGAATGCAAACTAAAAACACCCTCTGATAATGTATGCATTGTCCTTGAAATTGATTGGTCCACACCAGAGACAGCTTTCCTTCGAGCCTAGTCTCATATGGTGTTCGACCAGAAGACGCCAAAAAGGTGCACAACTCAAAGACAACGCACTATCAGAGTAATTAGGGCTCGGGGTGAGCATTTACATCATGAGTAAGCATTTTAGTTGTGCGCCTTTTGGCGTCTTCTGGTCGAACACCATATGAGACTAGGCTCTAAGGAAAGGTGTCTCTGGTGTGGACCAATCAATTTCAAGGACAATGCATACATTATCAGTGTGTTTTTGGTTTGCATGCTGACTGCAGGTATTGTGGTTAATGCAAACATGATTCCTCGTAAAAAAAAGGTTTCAGTTTTGTTGCCAGAAAAAAGGCTAAAAAACTATTATTATTATATTTTGCTGCTGGCAAAGGAGGCCTCATGATGTAAATGCTTACCCCGAGCCCTCATTACTCTGATAGTGCGTTGTCTTTGAGTTGTGCGCCTTTTGGCGTCTTCTGGTCGAACACCATATGCAGAGCATATGTACAGTGATACAATACAAGCAGCGATAG